CCTTGCGCACGATAATATTATTATTTACATAAGGTCATGTAAAATGTTGGTTTCTAGAGCACTGTGGTGATGTTACCCGTATGTTTATTAACTGTGGGTCATGACCTGCCGTTGGTGACCCATGACCCACAGTGCGCAGACTGTGTGGTCAAGTCAACAAGATCCATTTGAAAGTGGAAAAACTACAGTGACAGGTTGTTTGATCTACTGACTTCCGGGTTATGACACACTGCTTGTTGAGAGAGCAAGAACTCAGTGAAAAAGTAAAACAAAAGCAAAAAACAAAAAATTATAGCGACGAGTAGTTTCGATCTACCGACTTCCGGGTTATGATGCACTGCTTGTTGAGAGAGCAAGAACTCAGTGAAACAGTAAAAAAACTTAGCGATGGGTAGTTTCGATCTACCGACTTCCGGGTTATGATGCCCTCTGTGGTCAAGTCAACAAGAGCTCATTTGAAAGTGGAAAAACTACAGTGACAGGTTGTTTGATCTACTGACTTCTGGGTTATGAGACACTGCTTGTTGGGAGAGCAAGAACTCAGTTGAAAAAGGAAAAGATATAGCGACGGGTAGTTTCGATCTACTGACTTCCGGGTTATGAGACACTGCTTGTTGAGGGAGCAAGAACTCAGTTGACAAAGGAAAAAAATTAGCGATGGGTAGTTTTGATCTACCGACTTCCGGGTTATGAGACACTGCTTGTTGAGAGAGCAAGAACTCAAGTGAAAAAGTAAAACAAAAGTAAAAATTATAGCGACGGGTAGCTTCGATCTACCGACTTCTGGGTTATGAGACACTGGTTGTTGAGAGAGCAAGAGCGAATTACAAAAAAAAAGAATAGCGACGGGTAGTTTCGATCTACCGACTTCCGGGTTATGACACGCTGCATGTTGAGAGAGCAAGAACTCAGTGAAGCAGTGAAAAAATATAGCGACGGGTAGTTTCGATCTACTGACTTCTGGGTTATGATACACTGCTTGTTGAGAGGGCAAGAGCTCATTTGTAAAAGTAATAAAATATAGCGACGGGTAGTTTCGATCTACCGACTTCCGGGTTATGATGCACTCTCTGGTCAAGTCAGCAAGCTCCATTTGAAAAAGGAAAAAGTATAGCAACAGGTAGTTTTGATCTACCGACTTCCAGGTTAATGGTTATGAGACACTGCTTGTTGAGAGAGCAAGAACTCAGTTGAAAAGGCAAAAATATAGCAACGGGTAGTTTTGATCTACCGACTTCTGGGTTAGGGTTAGCTGCTTGTTGAGAGAGCAAGAGCTCAGTGAAACAGTAAAAAAACTTAGCGACGGGTAGTTTCGATCTACCGACTTCCGGGTTATGATGCACTCTGTGGTCAAGTCAGCAAGATCCATTTGAAAAGGTAAAAACAATAGCGACGGGTAGTTTCGATCTACTGACTTCCAGGTTATGAGAAACTGCTTGTTGAGAGAGCAGGAGCTCATTTTGAAAAAGTAGAACAAAAGTAAAAATTTATAGCGACGGGTAGTTTCGATCTACCGACTTCCGGGTTATGAGACACTGCTTGTTGAGAGAGCTAGAACTCAGTGAAGCAGTGAAAAAATATAGTGACGGGTAGTTTCAATCTACCGACTTCCAGGTTATGACATGCTTAAAGCATCTACGATTCAGTTCGATTCCGATTCAATTTTAATCGATCGTGGCAAAATTTGCCAATCGAAAATCGACTGGGAATCGACCGAGTGGTGGCAATTGCGATGGGGGAATCGATCGCCTGAGGGGCGATTCCGATTCCCAAATCGACCCATCCCAGCGCAAAATGCAGTATTTCACCGACAAATCAATGTAAAATCGCTGCAATACATTGTAATGATTTTCAATCGGAGCTTTTCGGTGGCGTTATTGGAATCGTGAGTTGATTGAGTGGTGATGGGTTCAAGGGGTTGCAAGAGCGTCCGGAAACTCTTGGTTTGCGTCAACTGGCATAGCAACATCACGGAGTATCATGTCTGGTCACGGACAGTCTCCTACAACGCTGATGCAGCATCACAAACAGGCAATCATGTTCAAGTGACCTCCGGGTACTCTAGTTGTTGCTTTGGAAATTGAAGCAGGACACAAAAGGAGGAGGTGAGCAATGTGAATGAATGCTTTGGTTCCAAGTCTTCATTTACTGAAACTACAGTCTGTGTCTATCTCAAGTGGATGATGAAGGCAACAAGCACACTCGGGGCCTAAAGGGGACAATCTCAGTCTGAGTCACACCTCTTTTTACCATTTTAGAATAGTATCATAAATGTAAAGAAATGGGTGAATATTCCAGATATCAACTGCACCATGTGTCAATCAACAGTTTTGGTGACAGAGAACAGTGTGTGGCCTGGGTTTGTGGGATTATACTCACCACATAGCACACAGCACACATCAAAGAGGGCATTCCCTGTTCCAAAATAGTGGCAGTTGCAAGATATTAAAAATGATATTTGAGTTAAAAGGGAAATTTGCGCTATTTTACTATCAAATTGAACCGAAATCGAGCCGAATCGAAAATTTTCTGCACACTGAACAAATCGAACCGAATCAATCGCAAAACCCAGGAATCGAATCAAAAATTGACCGAGTGGTAAAAATTTCGATTATTAATAGATTGTGGGCTTGGAAATCGCTTCGGAATCAATCGGGAGGTTGAAAATCGAATCGAATCGAATTGTAGATGCTTTACTCATTTGAAAAAGAAAAAATTATAGCGACGGGTAGTTTCGATCTACCGACTTCCGGGTTATGAGCCCGGCGCTCTGAGACCAGCTGAGCTACGTCGCACAACAAACTCGTTGAAAGCGTGAGCACTTTCAAGTATATATTTATTAAGCTTATGTAGTAACAGTCCTGGATTCCATTACCCAACTGCTGTTCTTGGAATTGGCATCCTCCAATCCCCTATGAAGCTAGCATCCGCTCACCGGCGGAACCCACTTGAAAAGGAACCAAACCACTGGAAATAATGACCGGGATCTACGATGCCCCGGCACTGCTTGATGTTTTCGTCAATTCGTGGAGGGGGAGGTTCTGCGTGAAAGGACTGCCGACAGAGCAGGCGGGGCGAAACACACATGTGTAGATTCCGACATGGACATGGATAGGAAGAAAACAAAACCTCCTGGAACCTGGACGAATCGTGTTTGGATAGAGGTGAGTGCTCGTTGGCTGCGATTCTGATTTACTTTCGAATATGCTTGACGCAGCTTCGCTTCATTTGAGTACAAATGCTCTACAACTCCACGCGAAGGACACCAGGTAGAGTCATCCACTTATGGCGGCAATTTTTCCTTCCCGTCTGTGCTCCCAGCGCACCCATTCACATTCCCCCATGGACAATCTGGGCCGTTACTTCAGTTGACAATATTGATTCCGTAATGAAAAGGTGCTCCGCGCAGGCAGAACACGCTTCCAAGCTGACCGTTTGTGCTGGATGTGAGTGAAACCCAGTGGCTGCATTCGTTTTGGTGTTTTACCGCCCGCGAGGAGTGATCATATGGTTCTATTCTTGCACTCAAAAGAATCACCTGCTACGAGAGATCAGGAGAAGCGACGACAAGATACGCGAAGACGAAAGAGGCATGGACGGGAAGAGCAAGGACGAGGAAACGTGAGGACTGGAGGAGCTAGGATAGGAGAAGCATGGGGGGAAGTAGTGAGGACGCGAGGACCGAGGACCGGAGACACATGGACACAGGAGGGAGGACTAGAGAATTATGGACGGGAGGGAGCAGCGAGAACGAGTGAAACAAGGACAGGAGAAACATGGAGGTGGGGAGCGAGGACGGCAGAAACTACGACGATGGGAGGAACGACGACACAGAAACATGGACGGGAGAAGCGCCGAGCGAGGCGAAGAGGAGCTAGGACAAGCGAAACAATGACGGCAGAAGTGAGGACCGGGAGGTGTGAGGACGGGAGAAAACTGTACGGCAGGAGTGAGGACGGCGGAAGCGAAGACGAGAGGAGTGAGGACGACAGAAACGCGGACCGAGAGGAGGGAGGACGGGAGGAAGGAGTAAGGACGAGGACCGGGGGGAGGACGGGAGAAACATGTACGGCAGAAGCGAGGACGGCAGAAGGAAAGACGGGAGGAGTGAGGACGGCAGGACGCGGACCGAGAGGAGGGAGGACGGGAGGAAGGAGTGAGGACGAGGACCGGGGGGAGGACGGGAGAAACATGTACGGCAGGAGCGAGGACGGCAGAAGCAAAGACGGGAGGAGCGAGGACGGCAGAAACGGGGACGACAGGAGCGAGGACGGGAGAAACAAAGAATCAGTGATTTTATAAAGCGCGGAGAAGCTTGTAGATATCGCAGACACATTTACATAAAGCAAATACTAATTGTACAATTATCTCTTAAATACACATGGTGGCGCGATTGCGAGCTATTGAATCGTGCCCATTGAGCTTGGTCAGTTTCCAGTGCGGCGAATTCCTGTGCGGCGAATCGGCCAATGTTGGTGTGCCGTTCCTTCCACACACTCACCACTCCACCACCAGAATCACCTTTTCAATCCCTCTTGCTGACGAAACCACAATGAACAATCCGGTCAAGTACGATCCTTCTTACGACTGGGAAGGGGAGCCGGAACTCAGACGTCCACCCAGAGTCTATTCGCGGTCCGAGGTGGAAGAGCTGGAGAACAATGGGAATCTGGCGAATCCTCACGACGATGCCCCGATCGGCTACACCGGGCCTCCCACGTCGATTTCATCTCTTGGCACAAGGAGTTTCAAAGGCGTAGTGTACCATACTCCTCCGAGGAACCATCCTTCGTACCCGAAACGGTGGTCCTGTATTGCGACACCCGAACCCGCTTCCAACTCTGAAACTCCCTCTCCTTTGAACGACGATCTCCAGTCAGACACATCTTCTGACTCAATTGGTGCTTCCAACTCGGACAATGGTGTTGAACAGGAACCCCCGCACGTTGGTGAGGAACTCCCCCAAAGATTTGTGTGGATCATTGACACCACTCACCAGTTTCCACGCCACTCTGACTTTTCCACACCCCAACCCCACACTCGCAACGTCCACAGACGACATGGATGTTGATGAACCCGAGTTTGCTCTCGACGATGAGACGGAACAAATCGCTCAACTGCTCCAAGAAAGTGAAATCCGCTCGAGCGCGACACGTTTCGGTGAAGAAGCGTGTGCAGACGAATCGGAGGATGATGTTGCTGATGCGCCGCCTGCCGCCGCGTCTGGTCCAACTGGTGCTCGCAAACTGCCGGATTTCAGCACCATCACTTTGGACGAAATAGAAAACATGCGACGACTTCACAACTTGGTGATCTTTGAAAAAACTCGAGAGGCTCTTGATTCGCTCGAACCTCGTCCCTCACCCAGCGTCCTTCTCCAAATGAAAACGAGACTGCTCGCTTTGATTAAATGGCATGAAGAGAAATGCCCCGCGTGCACTGTTGAGGAGGCAAAGCATGTTTTCAATGTTGAGCGAAAGAACGATGCCGAATTTATCGAGTTGGCCAAGAAACAGTTCCCTCTGGACCGTGGGATCGTGTCCGTGTCACCTGGAATTCCGATCAGCCGTCACAAGTGTCTTCTTTCGTACCTCCCAATATACGCGAAGCTCTTCCATTTTGACGATGTGATCGGGCCAGGGATACCCAGTCCAATCGAGGAACTTGACTCGTGCCACGCACCATCTTGGTCGTCAGCAGCAGCACATGTACTGGACCCTGTGTGGCATGGCCTTATTCACGCACCGAGCTTGCTTGCTCGGGCTGAAATGAATCTCGGGTACCAGCCTGTCGACTTGATGAGGCCTCCGCTCACCATCACTGACGTGGCAAAGTACTCTGACTTGACCAAGAGTTTCACCAGTCGATTTGGGAACACCATAGAGAATGCGATACCTTCTCAAGCCGCTGTGAACTGGTCGTATCGTACGCAGATGGATCTCGAGTCCAAATCACCTGCTCTCTCCACTTTCTATTTTCAACGCACTGTGTGTGGGAGATGGGGCAGGACGATGAAGGAGAAATTCCCACTGGGTACAGTCATTGTCGACATCAAGGATGTCTTGGAACGAGATCTCAAACAAGCTTTCGATCTGGCCATCTCTCGCATGCCCGAGTCTGACCGGCAGGATGTTGTCCGTTACAAGCCAGAGTTTTTGGAAGGATATCAGCATGTTATTGCTATTTCTGAAACTTCAGCCTTTGTCAGCTCGGAAATGGAGCACCCTTGCGGTCCCATGGCTCGAGGTTCTTCTGGCGCTCCCTGGTCTATGCTCGCTTTGCACATTGGACGCTCTATTTTCCAAGTGGGAATTGTACCAAATCTGGACGGGCTATTGGGCATTGACGGCCAGTTTTCTGCTGGGAAATCTCACTACTTCACAATCTTGAGCGAGTTCATCACCAAGTTGGAGCGGAGATCATCTGAACTGCTTGTTCAGATTGGCCGAACGACAAACAATGAAGACGATGTAGCTCGCTTGTGGAAACAATTTGAGCTGTTCACAAAGGAGCTAGGTGTGAGCAAGGAGAAGGCAAACAAAAGTGTGTTCACTTGGTTGATTTCTTCTACTGTCTTGATGTGGTTCGCTGCTTTGGTATGCTTTTTTTTTTAACTCGCTTCTCTCTACCCTTTGTGCTTTTCGTCAGTTTTCCGTCTTGAAGGTCATGGTGCCCGTCATACTGGCTATCCTTCATGTGGCAAACATCGAACCCACCCCCAAGCTGCCCTTGATACCTCTCCTCAATCTTCTGCTCTCACTCCATCTTCAGGGTCCTCTCTTCCATTGAAATCACAACCAATCTCCCATGTAGAAGCCCAACAGGCACTTGCGATTGTCAAATCAAACTCCCGATTCATGTCTTCCGCCAGCAAGTCTACAACGGCATTTCTCCAACAAATGTGTGTCTTTGTGGATGAGAGGTTATCAGGTATTCCTACAGAAATTGATTCAGGCAAGTCATTCTGCTGCCTTTTTTTGATGCTGCACTGTGGACCTTAGTGTTTTCAACACTTAACCCCACGTACACAACAGAACTTCCGAATTTATTTGAGGGCCCTCCTGCATACTTCAAGTGTCCCACTCCAGGGTGTAATTCTGTCAAGATTCGTCGCCATTACTTTGACTTGTCTTGTCGCCATGTGTTCATGGTCCGAACAAATTGTCTGATTGCCAAAACGAGGACGAATTATAAGCTGGTCAGTACTCCAGGTACAGAACACCTGATTGTTACTAAAAAATCACGTTGGGACAAGTGGTGTCGGTTAGGGAAGTGTGGAGGTGCAACGGAGTGTTACAAGTGTGGGGAGAATCTTCCCCGTGAATGGTCAGGCAAAGGTTGAGATTTCTTCTCGCTGATTTTCAAACAATAGATAATCAGTAATTGTTAGCTTTTGAATTTTGTACAACTTATACCAGCAAAATGGCAAATGTTCGCATAAGCATGCATGGACAAAATGCCAGTGTCCATGTCGATGACTCGATGTGGTGTCACTGTTGAGCCGGGCGACGCCAATAATTGATAATTGGAAAAAGAGTAGTTATTTCGTTCATATGACAGCAGTCTACTATTGTGGTATTTGACAGTAATCTACTGAATTGATACTCCATCTCGCTATTGTGCAGAAACCCCAACAATTCGATCTGCGGCGCTCCTCCAGCTGAGCTACGTCGCTTTCCCCTTTGTTGCGAGAGAGGGACCTTTTTGAATATACATATTTGGAAATTTCTATCGGCTGATGGGGACTCCTTCTGTCTGAAGTGGCGAGGTCACAGCTAGACGGTGAATGTGACTT